CAAGAAATTAAAAGCACCTACCAAAACCTCCAACATAGAGGAGGCGAATGACGACATTAGTCGAACAAATACAATGAAATTATTTCAAAGAGAGCAGTGTGTCAGTCAATAAATATTAAATACGAAGCTAGGCTCATCACAGAAGGTTTTACGAAGATCGAATTTTTCCATTTTCTCACGACAATACTTCCAAAATGGAAGATATTTTCAGCAGAGAAAACAAGATGAAGCCGTCTACAACAGACAGTTTGAATGTCAGGGTCACGCTCCCGAATTAAGTCGTCTTCCCCCTCAGAGGGCTTTGAGGTCACCCCCGATGCACCCGGACAGTCGGGGCCCCATTGTCTGGCCGTGACCCCTCCCATCCAGAACAGCCCAGTGAACTCCCGTTTAACCTGACTGGAGGTCGAAGGTCGGAGCGCGGGCGTGTGAGACTGTGTTTAAGCATTGCTTCTATATCTGTCTGCTTACACGTACGCCTACGCATTTGTAAAGGATGTGAGGGTGAGACTGTGAAAACGAACGGGATCATCCGTAAAGCCTCGTTCCTCAGAACGACGGCAAGTTTGAAGCTGCGACCAAATAAAGTCTGAATAAATTACAGATATATTTGATTTTAAGGCAATATTTACATACATAAACATGGAAGCGGTTATCATGTCTTTTGTTGACTCTAGTGGCCTTTATTTGAAAGTGCTCAGACAGGAAAGTAGATAACGAGAGAGGGAAGACACGCAAAGGTCACCAGGCCGGGAATCAAACCTGCGACGGCCGCGTCGGGGATGAAGGCCTCCTTATGAGGGCTGTGCTCAACACCTGCGCCGCCACAGCAACCCAAGCAGCCATCGTTTCTAAATGTCTTGCATCACCACTATATTGTCTGTCAAAAGATGTTTTCTCACCAGATAGCGCCACAGAAAAGTCGATAAAAGAGATGCAGTGAAAGTACAGCGTGAGATTAGCAACATCCTCTCATTGTAATTTCTCTGCAAGTCCAGAGATGTTGCACAACCAACCAAACTGTACAGACCCGACCCGTTCAATAAGTTGGAATATTATTGAAAAGCCCATTTCTGGAACTTTATCTCTAAATGAAGCACATTAGATAAGTTAATTACACACAGACGGATGTTTGAACGTTACTTCTGTTAATTATGATGATTTTCCACTTACAGCTAATTAACTATGCTCACATATACCAATAATAAAAAAAAAAAAGCAGTGAAAAGTAAAGCAGACACACACTGCTTTCTGCAAGCGGCGTGTTTGCAGAAAGCAAAACGGCTCACACTTTCAAATCCCTCAGGTGGCAAAAGGCCAATCTCGCCGCATAAAATAATTTTTAGAGAGGAACTGCTTTACTACAACAAAAAAAATATTTTTATGCAAAAAGAAAAAAAAGAAATCAGGCAGAATTTATTTACTCATTTTACAAATATCTTTGTGGGGAGCTAAGTTTCTTCTCCACAGTGTGTAATAGTGTGTAATTTCCACGGTTAAACTCGCTGCATGTTTATCAATATAAGCATTACTCATTGTTTTCTTAGCGGTGCTCTCCCTCGTTTTCTGATGTGTAATCACGACAGACGGCTGATCCGAATTAAGGTCAGAGTCTGAGACGAAAAGGGAAGAGTTTATTTTGTGTCATTTGTGAATGGATACATCTTGTGTCGAAAGTTGTAAATATCATTAACATACACTGTACATGAAAGATTTTTGGTGGAGGTAGTGGCCAATCGCTGAAAGGTGGGGCGAATCTGGGACAGGTCGTCCGCCTATCACAGACTCAAATATACAACTAGTAAGAATGCAAGCATTTGTGTTTAAGAAAAGTGACGCCGCTTAATTTAATCTTTTTTATTTTATTTTTTTTTTATCTTCTCTTCAATACCGCTGCCACAAGTGATCAGACAGACTTCTGTGTACCAGGAACCCAACCCAGTCAGCTTGATCGAAACCAAAACGCAGCAAAGCCAGCGATTTGTCACAAACAAAAACCACATGCAGACATGGACTATTTCACAATGACGCAGACACAGAGGCAGAGCTTTATCTCGACGCACACACACGGGCAGGTTTTTGGAGAAGGCAGACATTCCGAGCGTCCCGGCCAAAGATTCCTTGCCATCCACATGTCCAATGCAGGAATCCCCGTCTCTCCAGGTCTCCCCGTGTCTGCCAGCCATAAATGTGAGGAGACAGACAACACTCCAGCAATTTGTGTGTTTCCCGATGCTTGTTCCTGGTGAGCAGATTGTTTTGTTGCCTATGTTGTGTCTTCATGCACATTTAAATGTTTATTTGTCCGTAGCAGGTTTGATCAAAGGACGCAGAATTCAGACTCGTGAAAATGAAATGTGTAGCTCAAAGTTGAATGCACTTTTAAACGTTTTCATTTAAGTCCGCAATTGAATCTTTAGCCGTGTTTATTAGAAAAACAAATATGTTACCCAACATGTACAATAAGGAACTTGGAAAGATGTGCAGCTCAGATTTCATCCTACATGTTAGATCTGTCTCAAGGCGCCGTTTAACTTTCTAGCAACACGATTTCATCGAAGATGGAAAGGAAATCACAAGAAAAGGGCAGCTGAGGCAAACTTTCCTTCCTTCCTTCCTCCACTCTTCTCAGCAGTAGATCCACTGTAACAGGTAGAAGCTGTAATTAATTGGAGTGCAATTCGCTGCTGTTGACCTTTTCGAAGGTGATCGTCACAACGACTCGCGCGTTAATTCGGCAGCCGTCGCTCTTCGGCTGCCGGCAGCGCAATCATCGCACAAATCGCTCGCTTGCATTTGCATGCGGGAAAAGATTGCGGGACCACACAGAAAAACAACTTTCTGGCTCTTGCGCACGCGCGGGCGCGCGCTGCTTCGGCTTGGTGTTCTGCTGTGATAAATGGGGGGGAAAAGAACCTGCAATATCGAAACCTCACGTACAATTTGCCGCGGTTTCAGACATTCTGCTTCTGTCTGTCACGCAAATGCGCCAGTCCACTGTAAAATATCCTCTTTTAGCTGCTTGCACCCCCTCTCTCAATGGGTGTTGTACCTGACTATTACCTGTAATGACCATGACATTAAAATAATGATAATGCCATTTGCTAATGCAGCACTTAGCACACATTGCACACACTTATGCAGAGAGATGCACACCCTTATGCAACCTGGATTTCTTCAGTGTTTGTGAAGTTGGAAAATGTGTATCCCCCCGCCCCCGCCCTCCCCGCGCCCCTTTAAGAGCTTTAACACAACTGCCCACATCAGGAATTACTGGGACTGTGTTAGTGGGACCACCCAAAGACCGAAAGAAGGTGAGAGGCTTAAGAACACAGCCACACTTTCAAATCCTCCACTTGAAAAAGATGAGACGGATCGTCTTTCTCCGGTGAGTTCTGGGTCTGCCGTTAAGGGTCTCCTCTCAGCGGGATCTGCCAGGAGACGCTTTGGAGAGAGCCACCCAGCAGGCGTCGTGATCAGATGTACTTCCTTTGATGCATCGGAGAAACAGCTCCATTCCCAGGTTTGACCCACATGGTGGGTCTCCTCATCCAATCTTTGGAGGAATCTCAGGAACTCATTGTCACAGAAAACGATCCATATCTTATGACCAAACGAAAGGGTCAAAATGTAGACGGATCGGTAAATCGAGAGCTTTTCTTTTTACATTTCCTAGTTGGCGGATTAAGTGGCACGAAGACAACAACATGACCACCTCAGATGCCAAAAGCAAAGACAAGAAGATGCCGAGCTCTCAAACCAGACAACCCTCCACTTCAAAAAATGATCACTTGACATCATTTCTGTTCACCCATCAAACAGGACTGTGACAAGAGGCAGTCCTCTAGCAGAATCTTAGCTGCACTGGACACATGCTGAACTTTGTGTTGAGAAGAAGGATAGAAAGTTTCCCTGGCTCCTGATGCACCTCCAACACTCTCCATGAAATCCCTCATATTTTTATGATTATTTATTTCCAGATTTTTATTTATTTATTTTTTTTAATTTGCCCAATTTCAAAAAACAAGTAAACTAATGGTTAAGTCAATTTTGCCTAAAATATCTTGTTCCCTTGGTAAAAAAGTAAGCAGGATGAACAGAAATTGTGAGGTTTGGCTGCATAATGGTCAAACTGACCTGGAGATGTTTCTGACCATTGTAATCGTCATGACGGAGTTTGTTCTTCCAACGTCCAAAATCTAAATGCATTCAGGGAGAACACTACTTCAAACTAACTTTCCAATTCTCAATACGTTTTTTGAACAAACTTTTACCCAACATGCCAATTTGGGTAAAAGATCAAAAGTCAACAGAAGTTGACCAAAACATTTGACAATTCAGTCAAAAAAAACAGCACACTGCAATGTAAGCAAACGCAGCATTTAAAAAAAATGAATAAATAAAAATAAAAACTTCTAAAATTAATTTCTTAAAAGTTTGTCCCAGATTTATTAGTGCATGTTCCTTTTGAGTTACGCCTCCATTATTGTTGGTCTTTCAGCAGAAGGGGAGAAGATTTGGCTTTTCTGGATGGTCACATACATTTTAATATCTGATGGGCTAATTGTTGTGTTTATGTTGCTCCATCTCTCCCTTTCCGTCTCAGTTTCCACTCCTCCCCAGACTCTTCCTTTATCTTACTGAGTCTCCTTTCTTGTCAAGGCGCAATTATTTGCAATTTGCCCAAGTCATCCATTTGCTGGGACACTAAGCATGAAAACGAAACAATTTGGTGTAAAATGGATGCGTGCGGGCATTGGAGCATGCGTATGGATGTGTGTGTGTGTGTGTGTGAGAGAGAGAGAGTGTGTGGCCGAATCAGGAGAAGGTCCAGGCACAGGTGGGGGGACGCAGGGACCGTCATGCAAAAAGTGAGACTGAATGTCAGAAGCGGACACATACAGAGATAAATCTGTGTGTGTGTGTGTGTGTGTGTGTGTGTGTGTGTGTGTGTGTGTGTGTGTGTGTGTGTGTGTGTGTGTGTGTGTGTGTAAACGTACCAGTCTGCACACATGACTGTATCAAAGTGACCTTCCAGCGCTGAAATGTCCACCTCGCAGTCCCACCTCACCACCCTGTAACACACACATGAAACAGAGACAAAAGTTCAGCATTTGGACGGGTGGTGAAAGAAACCAAGCGGGGCTGCTAAAAAAAAAAAAAAAAAAAAAGACCCCGACATGGAGAAAAAGCTCTTTGTCTTCGTCTTCTCTTTCTCCACCTTCACTGCTCTTTTCCTCTTCAGCACTGAGCTGCTGGCTGTCTGACACCTCGCTCTCCGTGACCCCCACTGTTTTTCTGCCTCAGTAGAGACCAGGAGAACGCATCGGAGAGGAAGACATGACGTCTGCGGGATAAAGCAAGGGAGCGTCTGACATGACACTTGACATTTATACCTTGTGAACACACACACATGCCGAGAGGAAAAGCCCACCTTCCGCACAGGTTGCTTTTCAACCCCCCGGCGCTTCTATTTATTTTCTCTGGTTTTGAGAACATTGCCAAAAATCGAGCTCTGGGACACAGCTAGAATGCAATGATTCACAATACATACATATATATATATATATATATATATATTCTGAACGTATGTACAGAATATATCCATCAGAAAGAGTTTTACGTATTGTCTCGAACCAAAACATCTCCGTTTTCCAGGTTTTCATATTCAAGAAGGTTTAAAAGAAGTCGTTTTGTTTCAAACACACTTTAGAAATGTTAACTGTAAATTGGCTGTGCTTTGGTGGAAAGATTATTCATTGTACGCGCTACCTTAGTTTTATACAAATGTCCGCCTGCTGTGTTTTTTGTTTTTTTTTTAAAGCAAAACTTGCCACTGAGCGTATCAGTCTAACTCTCCTTGCCCTTCTTTTTGTGTAACACGCTGCTGTGAACCTCGTAACCCTCCTAAAAGCCGAAGAGATACTTTCAGGTCTCGATAGGTAACGTCAAGACCTAAAACATGAATTTGTAACATCAACAAATCCAATGTTTTCAGATTAATTGCCTGCCCTTAAACACGCACGCATGTAATTGCAACCACGTCAGAGTCAAATCCCCACAACCTCACAAAAAAAACCAAAAAACAAGTGTGCTCGATTTATAAATATCGCTCTCAAAGGGACGCTTGACGAAAGAGACACACGGTTCATCCTGATGCCGCTGCAGTTTTCTGTCCCGCTGAAATCCGCCTCTGAACCGGTGCTGCTGTTTTGTCCTCCTCCAAGCGCCCAGCTTTCCTCTTCACCTCTTTTTCCACGCCACTTTGCCTTTCTCTCTCTTTCCCACTGTCAGGCAGATTTGGAGGAGGGGTGGGGGGGATTATTAATTAGGCATTTTTAACACTCAGTAAACAAAACATTAGGCCCTGCTAGAAATACAATCTCAGTTCACAGTGGGAGGCCCCAACACACAACGCTCGCACGTATGCATGAGTGTGCAAACGACATCGCGCGACATGCCCCTCCCTCTCCATCCCCTAGCACAATCGCATCGTGGCCTTCGCCCCCTCTTGCGGCGCCGAGATGACAGCAGGCATAATCTGAAAAGAAAACAATCAAAGTAATGTAGCCTAATTATACGTTTACTTTTTCACTCCATCTACCACTCATGTAAATATGCTCAGGAGCGAGGGATGGAGAGACAGAGAGCGAGGATGTAGGGGAGCAAAAAAAAAAAAA